CTCATAAGGGGGAGACACCATTTGCTACAACTATCATTTCGTCCATCACTATTGTCACTCTATCCACAACTACTTTTGCTCCATCATCAACCTCAATTCACCAACTTCTACTTTCTTTGAAAATATTAATGATAGTGTAGAGGCTAGGGAACCAGAGGCTGTGACCTTTGATGATGTAATTAATGTACAAACCCTAAGTGTCACAAGTATCCACCATATACTTCTGAACTAATTTTGGTTGCAGCTACCCTAGTGGCAACTACTATTACATTGTCAGAAGTTCCTCTGCCATCATTAGATCCCTCCTCTACAAATCTCTCTACAAATCCAACACCTTCTGGAAGCAAAAAGACATCTCCTGTAAATATAAGTTCAGAGTTTGCTCCAGATTCAGAGATTCCTCGATCTCTTAGTCCCTCTGCTCCATTTAGTCCAAATGCTTCACCAAAGTCACCTCCCGGATCTTCAGGTCTTTGACCAGAACCACTGATGGAACCAGAACCTGCTAATGGAACTCTTGTCTCTTATACACCAACTATTCCTACTATCTCCGAGACATGCACAAAAATCCATGATATCCAGGGCCGTCCCAATCTTTTTGGAGGCCCTCTTACACTATTATAAAAAATATAAGTAGATTGGACGACAAAACGAATAAAAGTTAAATACAAAAGTTCATATTATATTTAAAGTCTTACAAATAAAAACAACAAGACATAGTAACAATGTAACATGTAAACTTCACTTGAATAAAATCATTCTTTTAACATTCTTGGAAACAAAATCTTCAATAAGCTCTTCATAATCAACTTTCTCCAAAAAGTCATTTTCAAGTGCTATCATTGCAAGTCCTTTAAGCCTTTCTTGTGTCATTGTGGAGCGCATATAGGACTTCAACAACTTCAACTTTGAAAACTTCTTTCTGCAGATGGAACGGTTACATGAATAGTCAACAAAACTCTATAAGCAATAATCGCATTAGGGAAGCATTTAACATGTTTCAAATACTTTAAAATATCAAGAGGTCCCATCTTTTGTGTGTGTAAAAGATCTTGAAGCATCTTCAGTTCAACATATAAGTCATTCCCATCTATATCAGATTGGTCTTGTTTCTTCTGTGCATTTTCAAAATTAGTACAAGAAGACTTTAAACATGTATCATCCAAAGAACGCAATTTATCAGATGTATACAAAAACCCAAACACACTTTCATATTCTTGGTATTGTTCGAATCTCCTACTTAGTGAAGCAATTGCATGATCAACGACACATAAGAAATAATTAACTCTAAATGACTCCTCCGTTGATTGTGAATTCATTTCAGATGCATCATGTGGATTTTCATCAAAATGTTTTTTTCTTCGAATTTCAAGTCTTTGAGGAAACAACGGATCAATATCCAATTCAGTGGCAATCATTTTTGCTGATTCTATAGCATCTAAAAATCTTGTTTCTCTATATCCTTTAAAATAAGAAATCAGTCCCTTAACTTGATCAATAGCAACATCAATTAACATATTTTCTGACTGTAAATGTTTACTAATCAAATTTACGGCATACAATATTTCATACCAAACCACCATTGACACTAGAAACTCAAAATCACCAAGCTCATTGTGTGCTAAAGATTTTGCTTCACTTCTAATTTTTGAGTCATTATCTATTTCAGCCACTTGAAGTAAAGCTTCTCTTATCTCTAACACTTGAAATCTTATAGCCTTTACACTATCAATACGACTCTCCCAGCGAATCGTTGACAATGACTTGACGGTCCATCTTTTTACATTATCTTTAAACACTTGCCATCTTTTAGTGGAATTAGCAAATATTGTATAAATACGTTGAATTATTATCTCTAGCTTTACCACAAGTATTGACTATATCACACAAAGTTAAATTAAGACTATGAGAAGCACAAGAAGTATAAAATGCTCTAGGATTTATATCTAGTAGTTTCCTTTGTACTCCTTGATGTTTTCCCTTCATGTTTGAACCATTGTCATAACCTTGTCCTCGCACATCATCTAAATCCAAACCAAGAGATTTTWATTCAGCTACTAGAACATCAAACAAACCTTGGCCCGTGGTATTATCTACTTCCAAAAATCCTAGAAAAGATTYCTCAATGCTAACAATTTTAGAAGAGACATCTACATACCTTAATATCAAGGACATTTGTTCTTGATGACTTATATCGGGAGTGCAATCAAGGATAACAGAAAAATACTTTGCCTCATTTACTTTATTAATAATTTCACATTTAAGTCTCCTGGAAAGCAAAGTTATCAACTCATTTTGAATTCTAGGACCAAGATAATGAACATGTAAATCATCATTTGTAATACGTTGAACATGATCTTGAATAATTGGGTCAAATTCAGCCAACATCTCAATCAAGCCCAAAAAGTTACCATTGCTATTCGCGTATAATTTTGCTTTACTTCCACGAAATACAAGATTATGTTTTGCAAGAAATTTTACAATAGAAACAACTCTTACCAAAACTTTTTTCCAACGATTTTTTTCTTTTTCTATTTGGGTTTGAACAACTTTGTCAAAGGTTTGATTCTTTTGAAGTCTTGGCTGCAAATCATACCAAGTTTTCATATTCATTACATGATCTATACTTGTTTCATGCTCCTTAAGTCTAGTGCTAAGGTGGGACCAATCCCCAAATCCATCATTTGTTAATTGACCTTTCATATGTCTTTTTTTTTTAAAGATTTTACAACAAAAACAAAATACTTTATCAAGCTATATTGAATATACAAGCCAATCTCTATCACATTTCTCCCCATTTGATAAAATTCTAGTATACCATGTGGCAGAAAAGTGTTTAGACAATTTATCTTTAGGACCTTTCTGAACAGACAAATTTCTTTTAGGACCCTTAGCAACTAACACATCAATCATTTTAGAATCTAATGCATCCCACTTTCTTGGATCATATATATCAAAATGAACAAAAACATCATCAACATTAGTAGCATCATCACCATCAGTAGCATCAGGAATATCATTAGAAGCATTATTAGCATTAACATCAGAAACATCATTAGAAGCATTATTAGCAATAACATTAGGAACATCATTAGAAGTATTATTAGTATCAACATTTGTAGCCAAATCCTCATGAGAGTCATTTAAAGTGCTAAATTCACCATGTTAGGATTTTCATTAGCATCAACACAAGCATCATCCAAATTAATATCAATATGTTCATTGTCAAGAGAAGACGGACCTTCTTTTATGACAAATTTATCAAGAGATCCCTTTYGAGATTGAATTATCTCTTCAATTYTTTTYTTTTWTTTTTACGTTTTTGRCATCCAGAATCATATTTTCTAACCCTAGAAGACATATTGGAACTGAAATAAGTAAAAGAAAAAAGATAAGGAACAAAACAACCTGAGTGAGGATGATAGTACTACTGCTGGCTATTGATGTTTGGTCCTCCTAAGTCCCAACTCCCAAGTCCCAAAAAGATTTTGATTGCACTGCAAGAGATAAACACATGTATATATTAACATATATTCAGAAATAAGAAATAAGAATTTGATCATTTGAACCTAATTCCTAAACAATCTGAAGACTGAAGTTTGAACAATTTGAACCAAACCTAAACAAATAAGAAGATGAACCTAAAACAAGTGAACAAGTTTTCAGTTTTTTCTTACACTTGTGATTCTGAACAGTGAACAAGCAATAAAAGACTAAATGACTAAATATAAATTGAAGAAAAGAGAAAATGGGAACCTATTAACCTAAATCTTATGCAATTCCATTATTCCAAACAGTCATGACAGATTGACAGACAAAGAACTGAATTGTATATACAGAGAACTAAATACAGACATAAATCAATAAATCATAATCAATTAATCATATGTTCTGTGTAATGTGTATACAGACAAAGAACTTAAGACTTTAGGAGGATACTTTATCTCACCTTTAGGATTTAGGAATTAGGTTAAAATCGACCACCTACTTCCTCACCAACAGTCCAACCAAGTTACCAAGACCAACATGTAATCGATTTAGGATTTAGGAATTAGGTCCAACACAGATGACAGATGATGAGATAAAATCAGCAAAAAACAATTAAGTAATCGACCAAATCGTTGAGATTATGAGATTTAAGAACAGTGAATAGTAATCAGATAACGAGTAATCAACAAATCGTCCAAACATGTATTTATACTTAACAAAAATAATCTAAAATTTGACCGTTGTTCTAGTTGCCGTTGCATATCTGAAGATTCTGAAACCGAATCATTAGCCATTTTGAAGAAATCAATCGACAATCGCGGAAGGAACGGTATAGAAGAGAGGGGAGATCGATGCAACGAGGGTTGAGGGCACGAGGCGACGAGTTATGGTCCAGGCGTGCAGTCCATATGTCCATGACCGTATGAAAACGCCAAATCCAATCGACAATCGTGAACCTTAGCCGGCCAATGCAGGTATATCATATGGGCTGTGAAAATTTAGGCTCCAAAATGTTGGGAGCCCTGTTCTGAATGCCAGATTTAATAGGCCCAAGGACGGCCCTGATTATATCCCTTCAACTTCTAGACAACCACCCTCTCTCGTTCATATGGAATAAGTTATCACTCAGATGGTATCTATCAGGCGTCGACTTGAGCCTCCACGAAAAGAGCCTTTATTTATGGAAAATATTCATCAAACACTTATACAATGACCAAGATGAGAAGGTACTTATGAATCACAATTTTAATGAATTGCTAACATGAAAGGAATTAGTTATTCTATAGAGAGCATAAAATAAAGTTTTAGAGGGTGACATCTAAGGAAAGGTGCAACCTCCGATGATAAAATGAACCACAACTTTGTTCGTTTTTTAATGGATCAAAATGAAAAGTGTTGTGCTTCATGTTTTATATCTTTATGATACGCGCATTAGAAGGCGCGTGTGGTTCATTCTCTTTAGTCTTTTAACCTTTTCATTTTTGAAAAATCCTCTCTTCCCCGTCATCCAATCAGCGGAACTCAGAGAATCCGAAGCCGGCGATCGTTAAACCCTCGTTCCGCCGCTCACCGCCGTCCTCCGTCGTCTCACGCTCCGTACCGGTGGTGACACGAAAATGGAAGACGCTAAATTATAGTTCGTTTTACATATGTAAGTTTCTGGAGGGTGAGAAAACCTACATCAAAGTTCTTAGAAAGAGAGAGATAAGGATTTATCGGGGTTATAAACGGAAGAAAAATCTTTGATAGATTTTCATATAGAAGAGGAGTAGAAGAGATTCTCCTTTGTCCCAAAGGTAGAGAAAGAGAGGGAGAAAAAAACAATAACCTAAAGAGCATTTAGTTTCCTCTCTTTCTCGGATTTTTGTTGGGATAATCGAATTGAATATTTGAGGATCTAAGTTAGGGGTTTCATAATTGAAGTAAATCGGAGCGGGTGCTGTGGGAATTAAAGTTATGGTGTTAATCAGGAACGCGGATCAGTGAGAATTCAAGTTCCGATCTAGTGAATAACCGATTCGAATTGGTAAGAGATGGATGTGGATTCCTCAATGGCGTCATCGTTGGAGGCTGATGACGGTAGCAGCAACAACCTTGATACTAATGGGCCTGCATCGGAGGAGCAGAAAGAGGAGTCTCCAGCAGCGGTCGAGGAGTCTCCTGCTTCTTCGTCTCAGCCCCTGCAATCTCAAGTTCAGCAGACAAGTGGTAATCCGGTGGGTGGGCCCAGGCATGCGCCTAATTATACCGTGGTGAATGCTATATTAGAGAAGAAGGAAGATGGCCCTGGTCCGAGGTGTGGACACACCTTGACGGCTGTTGCTGCAGTTGGGGAGGAAGGAACACCGAATTATATGGGACCGAGGCTTATTCTCTTTGGTGGTGCAACAGCTCTGGAGGGCAACTCCGCGAACGCTGGGACTCCTACCTCGGCAGGAGGTGCCGGAATCCGTATGTTTCCGGCTCCATTTTCTTTGACCATATCTCTTCATGATTGTGTAATTTGGCAAAATAAAACAAAAATTGCACAAGAGTGATAAGTTTTGTTATGTATTAATTTCAGTTTTTTTATTGCATTAACACCCAAGATTGGTAGAGAGGGAGTAGATTCCTTGGCTTTTCAATCTTCAAGTTTGATTACATGAGGACCCAGAAATCAATTTTCCTTTTATGGATGAATTCTGAATTTATTAATTCAGTCAATTGAGTAAATGAACGTTAGCTGATTGAAGTGCTTCTGAACTTTTTCCTTTCTGAGGCTTTCAAATTGCATTACAGCTAAATACCATCTATATTTAGCACTGAAGTACCAGAATGCAAAGTATTTTAATATTTAGTTTCTAATGCCAAAAATACAATTGTTATCCACTGTGGGTTACTTTAAAGTTAACTAGTAGGAAGACATTGTTTTACTCAGATTTGCAAATTGCAACTGCATTCAGTTTTATAGATGCTGCAATCCACTTATATTGCTTCATCTTAAGATAGATCTGCACCTCTGATATGGATTTCCCATTCAGATGATGAATTTGGTTTTAGATAGTTAATTAACTTTCAAGCCAAAATAATAACTGTAGGAGAATATTACTCTTTTCATTCTTATTTGAAATCTTGTGAGCATCTGATTACTCTACTCCTCAAAGCATGTTTCCATATGTTTTTCATATCACAGGTTTATCAGGTGCGACTGCTGATGTGCACTGTTATGATGTATTGACAAATAAATGGTCTAGGTTAGTGTTTTTCTACAGCAACTCCAAAGTCCTCTTTATTTTCTATATATAGCTTGCGCCCAATTGAAATGCAATTTTTTAAACATTCCAGTGTGATATTACGAAATTTTGCAGAATAACTCCCTTTGGAGAACCACCTACACCAAGGGCAGCTCATGTGGCAACTGCAGTGGGTACAATGGTGGTTATTCAGGTGTGATAATTTGATATCTCAAAAACTATTCTGCTCGTCGATGCTCTATATAGTTCCTCTATTCTCTGTTACATTTCAAGTATATATTTAATCCAACACAGGGTGGAATTGGTCCAGCTGGTTTGTCTGCTGAGGATCTGCATGTTCTTGACCTWACACAACAACGGCCCCGATGGCACAGGTTTGAACTTTGAAGTATTTGATTCTGTACTTGCACATATCTGCATATCTTGGAAGTTACATTGTTCGTCTCTTGTAGAGTGGTCGTTCAAGGCCCTGGTCCTGGCCCACGATATGGGCATGTCATGGCTCTGGTGGGGCAAAGATATCTTATGGCAATTGGTGGAAATGATGGTCAGTGTCATCCAGCATAATCTTTCACTTATAATGAGTATTTGTCAGTTCTTTCTCACATAATAAAACACATACCCTGTTTTTTAACCAGGAAAGCGGCCTCTTGCTGATGTATGGGCCTTGGATACAGCTGCAAAACCATATGAATGGCGGAAATTAGAACCAGAGGGAGAGGGTCCACCACCATGCATGTATGCCTACTTGTCTTCCTTTTGCATTTATTGTTTTCCTTCCTTAATTTCTCATATATGGCTGCCTAATGATGCATTTTTCAATGTACTGTAACACTATTATTCATAATTATATGAGAAATGATCATTGTTTTTACTAATATATGTGTAGCCATTTTAGGAATATTTTTGTGCTCAAAAGTCCTTGATTTATGAGTTGACCAAAAATATTCAGATTGGTTGTAAGTTGTAATGACCTCTCTAGCTGCCTAGGTTTAACTCCCTCCTTCCTAAAGCAGTTGCTATGCCTGCTTAAATATGCAAAATGCCCCAAATATAATTGCTGTATATCCAGTTCTGGATATTTTTACAATTCTAGTTTCCTTCCATGATTTCCCTCATTCCTCCATGATTTATCACTTGTTATTTGCACATAGGGGAAATATGGTAATTCGTCTTAGCAACTTATGCCAACTATAAATCTGCTATATCTTTCCCTTAAGTGGATGTGCTAATTTGGAAAACTTTAGGCTGCCACTTGTCTGATAAAGTTCATCTCAGCTTAGTTACCAAAATGATAAATGTTCCGCAGGGATGTAATACAAAGCCTATTAGATTGTGAATTTATGAGATGTTGTGGGACGACTTCGATAAATTTTGTACAGTTTATTCATCTAGGTTCTTTGTGAATTTACGATCTCGTGAATTTATGAACTTGATGATATATTGATTATTCTTCTAGGTTCTCTGTGATCTTCTTTTTGGTTCTTAGTTGTTGGCTGAATGAGATGTTGTGGGATCCCTATGATAAATTTTGTACAGTTTACAGCATAACATTTTCTTGTTGCTCTTATTTGATTTTTCACTTTGATGTAGGTATGCTACTGCTAGCGCACGCTCTGATGGTCTTCTTTTGCTTTGTGGTGGGCGGGATGCTAATAGTGTGGTGAGCAATATGTTACAATTGTGCACCATCTGATACTGAAGATCCCTGATTTTCTTTGCTTATGTGATTGTGGTCTCATAAGACACCAGTAGTTGGACTGTCGTAAAGCCTGTCTTGATCTTGTCAGGCCATTGCTACTGTTTCTCGTGCTTCATGCTCTGCTTGAGTAGTAGTAGTCCCCTTACCCCAAAACTATGCAAGTACAATGTTGTGAAAGGTTTGGTCACTTCACTGCTCTTATTAGGGATGGTTTACATATTACTCCATCTCCATAGTCTGGTGTCATTTTAAATGCTTAGTTTAAAGAGTGGTCGGTAACATGGTAAATTCTCATGAAGATGGTAGTGGGAAATGTCTTTTGCTATATGTGAATGCTAGTGAGCATGTTTGATTGTTAGTGGAGTCAACTCCCTATGATCTGCTCAAATTCAGAGATTAAGATGCTTGGGAATACTAACCAATTTCTGTGACCTACTAAGAGCCATTAACCGTGTTCAACAATTAACCTATTTACTAGCCATTTAAAGGAAGTTCGTAATACTCGGTGTCCAAAAGATTTGACCATACAAATACTTGACAAAAATTTAAAAACTATAAACATAATTACAACTTCTGAAAAGATGACATCAACAATATTTACATTTTGTTCATGGTATCTGATACTCTGATGAAAATGTTTTGATTGGTAATGCTGTAATTGATCAATGGAAGTCTATGGGTTGTTAATGCATTAGTTATTTAATGTGTTGGCTACAACTATGATGGGATTTGCAGAACCTTAACGTGTACACCTTAAATGATTTCAATATAAAACGATTATTAGAGGTGTAAAGAAAAACAATCAAAATTCGAATTTGTATGGACAATCAGTTCATTAATTTCAGTGTACTGCATTTGTTGCTCTTATTTGTTAAGTTGGTAAACCAAACTAAACCAAGAAAACAAAGCAAAGAGGAAATCATTATCTAGAGAGTGAACTAGGTGCCATGATTATCAGAGTATTTGACCTTGCTGAAATCAGGTGATATTAGTCTCTCCCACTGGTACTGTTACTGCACATATCTCAACATATTTATATATTTGTATGTTAGATACGTTAAAGACAAACAAGTATAGTGGTAAACCTCTGATACGTTTTACATATAGGAGAAGGAAGTAGTCAGGTGTTTTGGTTTGTGTTCCTGTTCTATTGCTTTCTAGAATAAGTCCAGGGGTACTTTTGGTATTTGGCTTGAAAATAATAGGCGGGAGTTGGTTTTAGTTTGGAGGGAAGGTGGGTGGAGAATTCATTCGGTTTTGCTGTCAATTGTAATCTGAGCGTAAGCTCTGGGAGAGTCCATGGCCTCTCGAATGCCATAGGGTTTGATTTTCTTCGGAATATAGACAATAGCTGTCCATTTTCATTCCAGTTCGTATCATATAGCAGGCCTAAGATTTTGGATTGTGACCTCACCAGTTGACTACTAACCGACTCTTTTCACATGCTCAAGAACTGTATTTAAGCTGTTCTTGTAGGCTGCTTTATCATGCATGAATAGAAACCAAGCTTGTTTATTATTTTGCTTGAAGAAAAACTAGGTTTGGAGGCATATGGAGATGTATAAACTAAGGATAGCCTCGCATAATTCACCATGATATTTATCTGACTTTCTTTATATACTCATATCTGCAGCCTCTGGCAAGTGCATATGGGCTTGCAAAACACAGAGATGGTCGCTGGGAATGGGCAATTGCTCCTGGGGTTTCACCATCTTCTCGTTATCAACATGCAGCGGTGTGTTCTTTTCTGAAAATTAGTTATAGACTGTCCCTGTCTCATGCACACAAAAATATGCAGAGTGCGGTAAGGTGTTCATTTGTTGTTGTAGGTTTTTGTTAATGCTAGGCTCCATGTATCTGGTGGGGCACTTGGAGGTGGACGSATGGTGGAGGACTCATCAAGTGTGGCAGGTATGATTTTGATGTACGTTTGAGCTCACATTGTTTCAATAAAGCAAATATGTCGATCTATGAGTTACCAGATCATTATATGTCAAAATACTGAGTATGTTAAACAATCATTATTTCTTTGAGCTGGTCCAAAACTCCAAACTGGTTCTCTCTGAAGAGAACATGACACTTGCAATTTGTCTTCAAGATCATCCATGAATCACGTTTTCTTATTTTTCATCGAGGACTTGTGTGATAAACTGAACACATATGATTCAAATTACTGATGTTACATAGTGGTTATATAAACCAAAACTCATTCCTATAGTACTACTAAGTAGAAGAAAAAGGAGGAGGTGGCCTGTTTGCCATGAGATTAATCAGAACATAGCAACATAATGAAACCTCATTTGCCATAAACCTGACAAAAACGTGACAGGAAGAATTGCTACTAACACTCATCAAGTTGGAGCATGATACTGATCTTGCCAAGTTGTCATGGGTAGTAGATTTAATCTAAAGCTCTTTGTAGATGTTCGGTCTGGATGTTAGCCAACTGATACTTGTTACAAATATTAATGAGCTGGATGATTGGAGGACTGAGTCTTTGTACCCATAAAGTTATTCTATACAAGATGAATATTCTTCTTTTCAAACTTGTTCTCTGGTAGAGGACTTGGTTTTCCATATATAGATTGCAGATTGATTACTATATTAGGGAACAAGGTTGGAACAGATAAGACATATTAACAGGTGGTAGACCTCCGAGTAATTGCCTATCCACTCGTGAGAAACCTTTGATTTTGCCTGACCCATCTTATGACAATGCATACTCAAGTACTCAACAATATCTCTTAATATGATATACATAGACGGCCATAAATATGATATACCTAGAAAACCTATGGCTGGAACCCCTTAGATTTCTCACAGTACAGAGAATGGCATCCCAAAGACTGGTGTAGGACGTAGAGAATAATTGAATAATTACACTAACCAAGTATGCAGGACTTGGTAGTTTACCAACAAATCTTTTGAACTTTTCTTGATCATCATGGTGTTCAAGCCTCAGCAGTGGTTTTCACACTAAATCTATTGGTGTGCATGCTAGTAAACTACTCAAATAGGGTTCCTGAATGTATTTGCTCTTGTGAGGAATGGTCCCCTCATGGGATTGTGATAACTCTATACCAGGGAAGCATCATAGTTGTAAAGGTCAGTGATGTGAAACTGTCTCCCACTAATGCTCTTTAGGTCAATGGCACTGTCACTTTCATCTTCAGCTCGATGACAAATACATAACTAGGCTGATGCACATTTTTTCTTTCATATCTATAGAATATTGAATAATCATTGTCTCGTTGACATACTAACCTGTGTAACTAATATACAAGATGAATCATAAAGAAATAAATCAAAACAAAATTGACATGAAGGGAAGCATAACGGAAACTATTACTACTAACAACTAAAAATATCATACCCTCCCACTGGATGCTGTTTTCTTTCCTGAACCCTAAAATTGGGCCTTGTTGCATCCCTTTCATGGGAGCTGGTCATCAGAATGCTACTTCAAATAATTATCAACATCATGTAATAAGCATGCATATCCTCAACCTCTTTGCTTATGGATGTGAAAATGATCGGGGCTGAAGATTCATGTTTACTTTTAAAGTTGCCCCAAAATATTTCGGCTCCCTGTTTAACAATGGCAAAATTGTCTATTCGAAATATTTATAAAGAATGGGTTGTTGAAATATAAAACAAAACAAAATGATAATGACAAAATGGAACTCTTTTAACTGAAACTGAAGGGAAGCATATGGCAAACTATCACTGTGTACTACAATTATCATGCTCTCCCACTGGATGCTGTTTTTTTTCCTGAACCTTATAATTGGGCGTCGTTGCATCCTGTTCCTGGCAAGGTTTTCAATTGGCTGCTTTTTTTCCATCAAACAGTTTTTAGAACCATGATTCCTGGATCTGGTCATCACAATGCTACTTCGTAAAACTATCAACATCATGCAATAAACATGCACATTTCGTGCTAAATGTGGATGGGCGAATGACAGCGGGATGAAGATTCACATTTACTTTTAAAGGGTTTCCCCGAAATGTTTCTGCTCCCTGTTTATTATGGCAAAATAGTCTTTGAATCATTTAAGTAATGGAATGTTGAGGAAGAGGCGAATCAATCAATTACAAAGGGTGTACATTGTTTTGGTTTTGTTTCAATATTTGCTTTGATGATATTTACACATATTTCTCACTACTTTTATATTTCTCTTCTGTACAGTTCTTGATACTGCAGCAGGTGTCTGGTGCGATACAAAATCTGTTGTGACCTCTCCAAGGACAGGTAGATACAGTGCTGATGCAGCTGGTGGCGATGCTGCGGTTGAATTGACAAGGCGCTGTAGGCATGCTGCTGCAGCCGTAGGTGATTTAATATTCATCTACGGTGGTCTACGTGGAGGTAAGACCTGATCTAGAATGTAATTTCTTCTTATTTTTGTCCCCAGATGACTAGTTCTCAGATCTTTTGATTCTCAAGCATCTTGATTCTTTTAGATCATATTTACAAAGCAAAAACTTACCTGTTGTATGGTGGCATGTGACTTTTCAGTCTGGGTGTACGGCAGTTTATAGCCTAAGGAGGTAATTGTATCTGTGTTGTATGAAACAGAGCATATCCACTTGGTAGCTTGTTTTTTACATTGCGGGATTAATATTAGAGTATCCTTGGCCAGGAAATTTGGAAAAAATTCATTCTAGAACACTTAACACATGAGGAAGTATAAGTTGGTGGTTAGCAGTAGCACTTAGCAGTTGTGTTTGAATTATAAGTGAGCAACGAAATTTGATTGGTTATCCTTTGGGTATTTATTTCTTTTGGAGAAAAACAATTTTTAGAGGCTAGCATGGTGAAGAAAGCATTATATGACATGCTTCATGAGAAGAGAATGGCAAATTGCAGTAAAAGGTAGCACAACTTTGTTTACTTTAGAGACTTCCAATGAGTAGGTAGAATTCTGATCAGAACTGGTTGGGTTTAGAGACATGCATAAGAATAAAAAATTATTTGGGAGAGAAATATATGCTAGCTATATTGTTAACAGCCTTTCCTTTTTGGGGACCCATGATGCCTTTTTTGAGAGATAGAAGCAAAGATCTAGGGTTCGGACTACTACTGTGTACACCTTGGAGGAGGATGCTCAAGAGACTAATGTTGAAACATAATCATGCACCGCACAGAGTGATGTGCTATCTTTTACCGAAAGACAATTTAGGTTCTTGAAAAAATTACTTCTTCTATCCCAAAAAAAGTGTGCATTTTTATTTTAGTTTGTCTTAAAATAAGTGTCCACTTTTGAAAGTAAGTGCCTACTTTCCAATTCTACTCTGATTGTGAGATGGAGAAATTCATTACTCCTCTATATTACGCATAAAAGTGTCATTTAGTTAATTGAAAAGTCAATAATTACACATTTCTAGAACTGTGTCCTTTTTTCACTGTGGACGTTTATTTTGGGATGGAGGACCTGTTAACACAATTTTAGTCAAACACCGTCCTTTGACCGTAGTTGTGCTTTATACATAGCATATCATCAACTTATGTCCAAGAATGAATTTATTTTTATACTCTTTAACCATTAAATGTGGTTTGCTCCATATTGCTTAAGTTAGTATAATTAATGAGATCAAGAAGTGTGGATATATTTGAATGGATAGACTGGTTGCTCCAGATTGACCATAGATCTAGACAACGTGCAGTTATGAAAAGGTGACATGCTTACATAGACTTCTCTTTCTTATAATTAATGGGATGTTTTATATCATACTACAAGCATATTGATTCGTAATAGAACATGGTAGTATACATGAAAAGTGCTTATGTAAAAATCTCTGATAGTGAGATAAGCTTTTGGTACTTCTTTCTGACACTAACATGCTTTTTGGCTCCTAGTTCTGTTCTGACATACATGAGGGTGATGACCTTTTTGCTTCAGTATCAGATTACATAATCTTTTTGTTCTTTGTGTTTTATGCGTTCTAATTGAAACTTAAATGCTATTCTATTTTCTGTTTCCAAAAATTACATTTTAATCATCAAATTTGCCAATCTTAGGAACTGATTTTCGGAAGAATGTTTTAACAACTTTCATTTTTTCAGATTGCATCACTTATTCTCTTTTCTTTGATCTCTGTTTCCTATACAATTGAAGATGCCAGGTGAAAAAGAAATTAATTCGCGATGGATAAGCAAACATACCAAAATCATCATCTATTTAATAAGCTATGAAGACTGTTAAAGAGGTTTTGTGTCATTCAAAAAGGGTAAATTTGTCAAATAAACCTCCATCTTCATCCCAATCTTCATCTTTGACCTCATATTCATCATATGTTTTTAATCATTCTAGGTTAAGGAAGATCAGAAAGTCAATTATTGTAACAGTAATAAATTAATACCTAACGAGCAAAGAACATAAGCACACATATGAAAGATTTACCCACCAAGTCTTGATAATCAAATTTCTAATATACAACGTAGACATAACTCATATTTTAGTAAGGTTTTCAAAACCATACACAATATATATATATATATATATATATATATATATAACTGTTATGATTTCATATAAAGAAAATTAAGGTTACGTAATAAAATTCCCTCTTTTGTAGAAGACGCAATGAAGGGTCACGAAGCAATGAGGATAAATAATTTTGTATATGAAATCTCTCTACTTATATTTTGAATTGTTTAATTATAGTAACAGAATTAGAAAAATAAGATTTTTGGTGGAGAGTGGGGTTCAGTTTTCAACCCCAATTTGGTGTTTGGTGCTCTCCATTACAGCCATTTAGCTTTCCAAGCTTTTGATTGATGTTCTTTCCCAACCCAAACTTCTTGATTTTTGGATGTAGTTTTGGTATTTGCTCCCAATCCAGAAACTTCTTTGGTGTTTGCTGCTCTTTTGCAACCCAGAAATCTTTTTGACCTTTACATCAAGGTTTCCTGTAACCTCAACCCAGAAATTTTTCTAGTTGTTCTTTCAAGACCAAGAATTTTTTGATGCTTGGGACATGGGAATCTTAGAACTAGTGGCCTGAACCCAACAATGGGAGGAAATCTTTTATCATTTTTATCCCAATCTTCATCTTTGATCTTATTTTCAACCTCATCAGGTTATTACCCTGAGCATGGTTAGGTGTTCTTACCCAACCTGGAAACCTCTTGGTGCTCTTCAATCTTATTTGTGTTCTAATCCATTTTTGTTCTGTTGGTGATTCATAAAAGTATTTTTTTTTTTTGATGGAGATGAAAGTAGGGGATCTAGATGAGAGGGTGAGGACTAAATTTACGTATTTTCTTTTGTTCATTCATGTGACTGATATGTGATCTTTTTAACCGGGTCTGGTTAGTTTTTGTGGCAAGTAAATATAGTCATTGGACTAAAACTGCAAGTCTGTTACAATTTTTTTGGTTACTTATTTTTGGGTATATTACTCATTTGGAAGTCATCATGTCTTGTGCGTTTTCACTTGATAATTACTAAATATTATATCATACACACACATATGGCAGCATTGTTTCTTAGGTCATAGTATGTTAATCAGATTACTCGTTTTTCTTTGTTATAATAAGGGATTTCATCGAATGGTATCAATATGAACTATGAAGACAACTCGTTTCTTTTATCAATTTGGTTTTAGAATTGAAGTATAAATATGACGTGGTGCTGTTACTTATAAAAGTCCTTCACACTCATATCCTTGCGACACAGGCCTTATGTTTTCACACAGCTAAATCATTATGGTTCTCGTTTGTAATGCTAAAGGTTCTTCTCCATCTATTAACTACTCAAACCATTGTTTATAGCAAGGTGGCATATTTGCTGTGACAATTTTTACTCTTCTATTTGCCAGATATTAAATTAATAGTTAATACTATGGAGCCCTTACTGTTGCTTCTTTCGTTACAGGGGTATTGTTAGATGATCTTTTAGTTGCTGAAGACCTGGCTGCTGCTGAAATGACATCTGCAGCATCACATGCAGCTGCTGCAGCTGCATCCTCCAATGCACAGGTAGGGAGGTTACCGGGAAGGTATGGATTTGTTGAGGACAGAACGAGGCAGCCATCTGAAGCCGATCCTGATGGGGCAGTTGTACTGGGGAATCCTGTTGCTCCACCGGTAAATGGTGACATGTATACAGATATCAGCACTGAGAATGCGATGCTCCCAGGCTCAAGGTAGATTTAGCAATTTGATTATTGATTAATTTGTATTAGCTGAATGGAGTACATAAGTTTGATATTGAGCATATCATGGTTAATATGCAGGAGGCTAAGCAAAGGAGTTGAATACTTGGTTGAGGCATCAGCAGCAGAAGCTGAGGCCATTGYTAAAACCCTTGCTGCTGCAAAAGCACGTCAGTCAAATGGAGAAGTTGAACTGCCAGATAGGGATCGTGGAGCGGAGGCTACTCCTAGTGGGAAACAAATATCCTCCCTGATAAAGCCAGAATCTGATGTTGTGATCAATTCTGCTCCAGCTGGAATACGATTACATCACCGTGCTGTCAGTATCATAATTGTTGCTTCCTTACTATGTTGTTTTCTTAGTTTATCTTTTCTCTCTATATTGAGTGCGCATATAGTATGTCTGATTCTCATGGATTTGCAGGTGGTAGTAGCAGCAGAGACTGGTGGAGCATTAGGTGGAATGGTCAGACAGCTTTCAATAGATCAGTTTGAAAATGAAGGCAGGAGGGTTAGCTATGGGACCCCAGAGAATGCAACTGCAGCAAGGAAACTTTTAGATCGCCAAATGTCGATTAACAGTGTGCCCAAAAAGGTAGTGAGGATTCAAACATATACCAGTATGAGAAGTGCATTATGTTATTCTTGCTTTCTTTCCCCCATTATAGGTTTTATCCATATATATTCTGATCGACAACTCATACTTGATCCACTTGCTATTGGAATTGAGGGAATACCCCAAATGGATTTGACTTTGGTCCATTTGTTACTGAAGTAACTCAGCATCAACTAGGACTAGTTTGCTGTGAACTTTTAGGAGTAATTTATTAAATTGGTTAGATCTAAATCAATTGCATACACTACGTATGATGTCATTGGAGATAGCCACATACATACAGATAGACAAGTCTTACAGTCCAGCCATCCGTCCATTCGGGTCTATTTGAAGGTAGCTAGAATCCATTCACCAAATATCTGTTTCCACATGCGTACTGTTCATGTGAAGTAATTGCCACGTGGGACATACTAGTTAACACAAGGTTTGGTTGGGGGTTGATAGCATTGGAATGTACAAGTATCTAATGATGCAATCTTGACCTGACCCTGCTAGCTTGCACATATAGGATCAAAATTTTCTTTTGCTATAAATAGGATGAACAAGTTTCATGTAAAACTAAAAACTGAATTGAACATCTATGGAAGGCTTGTGTCATTTATGTTACTTGTTAGTATGTGGGTTTTCTGAACAATACCTCATGGACAATCAGAACAGCCAGTACATACGTTTCTGCTCTGATATTTTGATTGTTCATAGAAAACATGTAAAAAGCATATATATTTTTCATTGTAGCATGTGGAAGCACAACATTAAGTAGCAAGCTGAAAGCACAAATGTTACATTTCCATGATTCTGCGGTGCTTTGTACTTCTTGAGTACCAGAATAAATGTTGATTACCACAATATTTTTAGCCTTCCATGGATTACTTTGGCTCTATCTTCCTCTTAACAAGCTTAAAGCACAATATAAATAATTACGTATATAAGAATTAAAAGGAACCATATATAAATGATCCATGGTACTTATCAACATACATCCAAAAAAAGTCACTTGTGGTCATGGTGGAGTGTGTATATCGTTTTTGTATAGCTTCTATGGGAAGTCTTCAAAGCCGTGGAAATAACCCCATGAATGGACTTTGATTCTTCAATAATGCTTTACTTTTTGTACGTGGCACTCATTTATTTATTTTACTTTGTCCATTACATTGTTGGTTTGTAGTTACTTTTATGCTTTTGCTTCATGTTTCTTTTATTAATATTTAATTGGTACCATCCCAACACTTGCTAAAGCTGCTTTGATTCTGATCTTTCAGGTGATAGCTCACCTATTAAAGCCTCGTGGCTGGAAGCCTCCTGTTCGTCGACAATTTTTTCTAGATTGCAATGAGATAGCTGATCTATGTGATAGTTCTGAAAGAATATTTTCAAGCGAACCTAGTGTTCTGCAACTAAGGGCTCCTATTAAGATATTTGGTGATTTGCATGGGCAATTTGGCGACCTCATGCGACTTTTTGATGAGTATGGATCTCCATCGACTGCTGGAGACATCGCGTAAGAGATTCTTTTAGTACATCCTTATGGCTCATACATCCTGCCTCAGTCTCATGTCAGAAAGTCATTATTTCACTTATTTGTTTGGCCATGTTATATTTTCGTACTACCAAATTAACTTAAATTATATGATTTATGTTTATAAATAGACCTAAGTTTTAAATCATATTTGGTAAGTTCTTCACCTTATCATAATTTATTCGGATAATTGTAAAATCTGAATTCATTAAGTAGGGTAAGAGTTCTGAATGTTCTAGTTTTTAGCTGGAAACTCAAGCCCCAGAAACTTTTCCATATCATGATTGTCGCAAGATGACCTAACCACAAGGGTGGTGCTAATTGGTTTGAGCTTGACTCCAAAGGTCAAAAGTACCAGGAGGTCCCAGGTTCAAATCCAAGGAGGAATAAAAATCCCCTTGTGGCCACGGAGGTTCAAATGCGGTGACTCCGGGCTATCTGCAAAGCAGGTGGTCGCCCTGGGATTAGTCGGCTCGCATAGCGGGTTGGATATCTAGGTTAATCAAAACAAAAAGATGACCTAACTAGAGCAATTGTTTTTTTGAACTTTGAAACAAATAGAAGACATATGTAACTATTTCATAGTACTGTATCTCAAATTTAGAGATTAAGAGACTTGCCACTAAGATCAAATGATACTAGACGTGACAGTCGGTAACAGCATAGTAACATATACTTTGCACTAGTGCATTTTTATCCAGTTCAGAAGAAGCTGAGATAGAGAGATTATGACAAACCTCAAGATATATGAATAGTAAATAAAGTTGGTTTTGATTTTCTGTTCTTAAAGACGATGCAAAGTAGCAAGACTGTTGGAATTCATACCTACAGCAATGAAAGTTTTTGATTATTTTTTCTTTTTATACTTGTATTCAACTGTTTACCGTTTTATTTCTGGTGCAACTGGGAATGCAAAACAGTTTTTTCTAATACTCCTGTTCCAAAAAGGCTAACACTTTCTGTTTTTGTGTTCTAAAAAATTGCAACGTGTTTGTTTCTTTAAAGGTTCCGTTCTAAATCTACCTATCTTCTCATTAATGAGTATTACAACATATTGGTGACGCTATTTTTTGGTACACGAATTCTCTCTTTTGTCTTATTAAGGGAAGTTTAGGTATTTGATTATTATTTGAAGATTCTCTTGAACTATGTGCTAAGTCAAACATTTCACTTTTGCAAAAAGGGAGTAAGAATGTTTCAGATGATCAGAATCCAATTAAATATTAATCAGGTAGAGTAAGATAGATGCTACCCTACAATATGTCAAACAGATTGGTTAGACTGAATCCATAATAGGACAATACTTCCAATGATGTTTACCAGATTTTAGTTCCATCTTTTTGTCAGTTTCGAATATTCTACCATATGCTTTGTACCTTGCTTGTCATGCTAATTATTTATGCACAAATCATCAGATATATCGATTATCTCTTCTTGGGAGATTATGTTGATCGAGGTCAACACAGCTTGGAAACCATTAGTCTCCTTTTAGCATTAAAGGTAACTCGTACTTGTGTCTCTCACTGTTGTGTTTCTGGATATTTAGCTTTTTTAAGAAGCATGATTCACCACAGATATTGCAATTGGGTGTCTACTGCAGGTTGAGTATCCACAAAATGTTCATTTAATTCGTGGGAATCATGAAGCTGCTGATATAAATGCACTTTTTGGCTTTCGAATCGAGTGCATAGAGCGGATGGTAATATCATGTCATTGGTTTTGTTGACGCAGTTTCAATTTGAGGTTCTGCATTTCCAATAATGGCCGTGATTTTATCCTGAGCAGGGTGAGAGAGATGGAATCTGGGTATGGCATCGGATAAACAGATTATTCAACTGGTTGCCACTGGCAGCTTTAATTGAGAAAAAGATCATTTGCATGCATGGTGGTATTGGGAGGTCAATCAACCATATTGAGCAGATCGAAAGCCTTCAACGGCCAATTACGATGGAGGCTGGTTCAATTGTACTTATGGATTTGTTGTGGTTGGTTTTCTGATCCATCTATTATTTAGAAGTTTAATCTGACTTGTTAGTAAAATTCCAATTATCTTTTTGGATAGGTCTGACCCGACAGAAAATGACAGTGTGGAGGGACTGCGACCAAACGCCAGAGGTCCTGGGTTAGTTACTTTTGGGGTGAGTGTTATTTTCTTCAATTTATCTTTAAGTGGGAAGAATGGCTATGCTATTCAGTTACTACAGTTGTATGTATACACGTGACTATCATTCTACATTTTCTTGCCATTGCATTTCTATAAATGCAGATGATTCCTCTGCTGAAGTTTCTCTCTTAAAGTTGGTCCGATGAGTTTCATCTTAAAATGTCTGAATGATTAGATATATGAGAATTGAGATGCTTCCTAATGTTAATAAGGAGGCGCACATGTAAACTAGATGCTGGCGATGATTTAAGAACCATGTGGTATCTGTATGTGTTTAAGTCTAGTGTATCCTGAGGTACATGTTTAAAAAAGGTTCCTACTTAAAGCATATAAAAAGCTGGGGTTGCAACCTTAGATTCACATATGCAGGGGAGTTATAATGGTTGCCGCCCCCCCTCCGGGCGGGTTGTAGAACCATGCCTGCATTATAGAATGGCCACTTCACATGGCTGCCTTGTCACGTCCCAGATGCATGTCACACTTTTCTTATTTGTGTTGAAGAGAGTTGGTTCTCTTCAACTCTTCTCCGATATATGCAAGACACTTCTTAGCTGTATGAAACTTCTTTATTAGTCATTTGGAGTCTAAGACACATCGTGGACTCTTCCCTTACATTTTTGGATACGTCAACATTAGCCTGTCACTTATGGCATGATATAAATCGTTGGAGACGATGAGACATGGATGCACAATAGTTTTTAGGCTGATCATATGGTTATCAGCATAGAGTGTTTGAATGCCAATTCGATATGATTGGTGCTTTCTTTTGTTTGCAAATTACCGTTTAGCCACTGTAATTCATTCTCTCTGCTTCTACAATTATTTCCATGCTTATGATTCTAGAAAGCGTTCACTTAGTGACTAATGTTGACAGCCCATCATCTTTTTGTTTTCTTGTATGGATATAATGGTGTAAATTTGACTAACATGTTGATAACTGGATGCCATTTGTATGTGTGTAACTTTGGCTAGACCATGTTTTCTAAAGAAATGTGACATCCGTGCTATATAGCCTCTGGAGATGTAAAACAAACATTTCTAGTCCTAAAATCTATGACTATAATGCGTACTTATTTGAAAGCATAATTGAAGCACTCATTCACAACTGTTCTGTTGTGAACGTGATCTTTTATCCCAAATCCATTAAGTGGCTCTGTTATGACAGCTTGAATCTGTAAAGGACAAAAGGCATTGATGGATAACTTAAGGTCTACTAGAGTAGGTGGTGATGGATTATTCGTTGATCCATAAAACGAGTTATTGGAGTATGGTTTTAGGCTCGGTGCTTGGCCATATGTTTTAGTTTTTAAATATAAGCTCTTTGGTCTATTATAGAAAGTTCCAAGAGTCTACACCTGTCTTGTTTTGTTTTCTAGACCTGGAAGGACACAATAAGGTGTTGATAGTATGGTCTGTAGTTGTCAATGAAGCCAGGTAAAATATGAATTTTATTCCCTTCACATGCATCATTTCATGGCTTGTAATTTTTTCTTTTAAAGTTGCACCAGATAGTGTCTTTGTTTGTATGCTAGGTTATCTGAAGAAACATATGTTTATTAGTGCATTTAGTTCATTTTTTTTCACCATCTTATTCTTTATGAATCACTTGCATATGATCACCACAGCCTGATCGCGTGATGGAGTTCTGCAACAACAATGATCTCCAATTGATTGTACGTGCACATGAATGTGTAATGGACGGATTTGAGCGTTTTGCCCAAGGACATCTGATTACCCTTTTTTCAGCCACTAATTATTGTGGTAAGTCTTTCATTCTTGATCCTGTTTATAACTTATAAATGCACCATTCTGATAGATATATATTGATTATTTTTCACCGGTTTCTTTTCCTGTAGGGACTGCAAATAATGCTGGTGCAATATTAGTCTTGGGTAGAGATCTTGTGGTGGTTCCGAAACTCATTCATCCACTGCCACCTGCACTTTCATCTCCTGAAACTTCCCCTGAACGTCATATAGAAGATACATGGATGCAGGTACCATTTCTGTTCTTGAAACCTTTTACTTCTTTTAGCAATTTATTAATCAGGAAGATTTTAACATATATATATATATATATATATATATATATATATTCTTGTCATGGGGGTAGGAACTTAATGCAAACAGACCACCAACACCAACTAGGGGCCGTCCACAAGTTGTGAATGATCGTGGCTCTCTCGCATGGATTTAGTTGAAGAAGCCCATGTCATATCACATCCCAAACACTTATTCTTGGCTCATGCTACCAATCAGAATGTGTGTTATGGTTGATGCTCTCAAGGGTTTGCTCAACTTATTCTGGGCCATGCTACCTCCGATCACAGCCCATGTAGTTAGTGAAACATTCTGAAAATCAAGATTTGAGATCTGAAAACACACCGAAGCAACCCCTTGGTACATTGACAAACGGGTAGGTTTCAGCTATTGGTCGTCTTGCTTCTCTTCTTCAATTGATGGTGATTTTGGTTCCTAGTTTTGAATGATTTTTGTTCCTTGGTTAGGGAGGGTTGTATCATTGTTTTTTTGTTTTGGGATTTTGTTGAAGATAGAATATGAGGCAGGTTATATATATATATATATACATACATATATATATATATATGCGTGTGTGTGTGTGTGTGCACGTGTGTATATATGTTTGGAATGAAAGCGATGTTTTGTATCATAGAGAAGATGGTGTTGTGTTTTATGTACAATGTAACATTTGTGTGAAGATGAGAATCTTTGTTTCGTTAGATCTTTGTTCATTTCTTAGACTGCATCGATCGAATGTTGGATCGATTTTGGTAAAAGTACATGTGATTTGTTATTTTCTTTGTGTTTAGCTCATTCTTGGTGCTGGAACTTAAAATTTGGAAAAAAAGGCAGAGGTTTTTAAGAACTTTGCCTAATCAAGCGAAATTCAATTAAATTTTTACCATAACATTCCTCTAATTTGGAACCAGTAAAATCTGCTTAATTTAGATACCTTTCCATACTTCGTATACGAAGTACTTCATTTAATTTTCTCAAAAGCGTCTGTAGGTGGTTTTTTAAGTCCGTCGTCAAATCCTAGGGTTTGAGATACTGATACAAGTTATTTCCTTTTCGGAGGATCCAGCTACAGGAGAACCACTGTTTGGGAGCTTACGGTTTCATGTTCTATTTCACTCCCCGATGGAAGATTTGATTTATCCATGGTTTGGTTAGTTTACTTCTTCTCCCGGTGGGGGGCTGTACATTAATGCACCCTTATGCGTGGGCGTAAGCCGGAGCTTTGATGGTTGACTTTGCATTTGGTCATAGCCATCTTGAAGAGACGTTGGTGCTTGTTTCAAACAAATTCCACGGTCTGAATGGTTACTAATAGTCCAAATGGTGCCACATGTTGAAATTCAATTAATTGTGATGGTTGGAAATTGTCACTAAAGCCAAACACCTCTCATTCGTAGTAGATTACCAAAAAGCTGGGTTATTTTGAAATCCTTGATTACTTGTGTAGGGGTGTAAATGATGCGAATCGAGTTCAAGTATCACTAGATTCGAACTCAGAACTCAATTTTCATGCTCTAATTCGACCCGAAAACTTGCAAGTAGTAAAAATCAAAGCTCGACTCGAACTCGATAACTATTTCTCAAGCTCGAACTTGAATCAAGATCGAACTAAGCTCGAACTTGAGCTCGAAACAGGCTCGAACCGCAACTCAAATCACGGTTGAACTCGAACTTGAACTCGAATCAAGTTTGAACAAAGCTCACTGCTCACCCGTTGAAATTTATGAAATTTTATGCTTTTTTTTTATAAATTTAAAACTTAAAGGTGTTATCTTGGTTTTTATAAAACTAAAGAGATGAACTTCAAACTTTATCATCAAAAAATTGAAGTTAGAAATTTCATTCATCTTTATTATAACATCTTTTCTCTCTTCCTTTACCGTCTCTCTTTCAATGTGGGACAATTTCACTAACCCTTTTTATAGTGTTTCTTTGTCTTTTTTTCTTAATTGTGATTTTAATAAAAAAATAATTGATTAATTTCTATAATTTAAAAATGCATAATTTTGTTCAAATATCTAAAAATATAAGACATTTTTATTATTTATATTTTACAAATTTTATAATAAAAACTGATTATATTTTAAAACTAATCATATATAAAATAATCGAGTATCTCACGAGCTTTTCGAGTCGAGTATTGGGTAGCTTGACTCAACTTGTTAATATGTCAAGTCGAGCTCGAGTTTAAGTCAAACCTATTAGAGTCGAGTGTTGACCGAGCTTTAACCGAATCGATCTCGAGTAGCTCACGAGTTGTCTCGTACCGATTATACCCCTAATCTTGCGATATTGTTAAATCGAAACTCTTTGATGGTGAGGATTCAAATTAAAAAACAATGACAAAAGATATGCAATTTTTATTGGATACACTAAACGCCTTGTATGTCCTCCCCAAACTTATCCGGAACCAAACAAAGATGAGACTCTTGCATAGGCCCGAGAACGTTGTTTGGAAAATTCACATCCTCGATCGACATGAAAAAAATCATCTACAAGACTTTTACCACCGAGCAATCACTGCTATCTACGAAGACAGAAATATTTACAACACGATCAATCACAGTCAAAACATTCAATAAATTATCTTGTTCTACTAACGCTGATGTTAGTTTATCCTCGACTGACACTAAAGTTTGTTTATCTTTGACGACCATAGCTTATCATTTATTGCAAGTCTTGAAAATTTATTACCAAGATTCACTTCATTAATACCCTTGGAATTAGGGGTAGGGTTGGGTTGGGTGGTTTCGGACATTTTTACAATCAAACCCAATTATAGCAGTTTGGAATATCTAAACTAGGGATGACAAAAAAAACCCGAAACCGATGGTGAAAACAAAAAACCAAAATTTTTGGGTCGAGTTTGAGGATTTCTTATCGGGGACGGGGCGTTGATGTGGATCATCGGCCTGACCTGACCTGCCCTGCCCTGCCCTGCCATGCCCTGGTATGTGTGTGTATATATATAATTAAAAAGAAAATTACTAATATTAAAACTTAAAAAAGCTTTTACTACTTTACCTCTCAACATCCCAAATAAGTCTTACAAAAAAGTCTAGTTTATTTGTGTAATCGTGAAATTGTGATTTAGTTGGGTTATATTTGAATTTTTATTTACTTTTATATTGTAATGTAAGACATTTTTCGTAATTGGTTTGATTATGTTTGAAGTATTTAGGTTTGCATGTTAAAAAAATTGTAATTTACTTTTAATTGTGAAAATTATCATACTGTAAAAATTTTCGGGCTGATTTTAGGTATAACCAATGTTGAACGTAAATTTTTACTCTTAACGGGTTCCTCAATGGATCGGGGAAATTGCGGGGACCCGACGGGGATCCCCAATAAGATCCCCGACGTGGATTAGGAAAGTTTTCGGGGACGATTTTTGTTATTGGTTTCAGCAACAAGGATACCAATAACCAGTCCGAACCCAACCCGTTGCCATTCCTAATATCAATTCAACCGAATCCATTTAAAAGTATAACGCAACCCAACCTAACCCTTGCGGTTTGTGACGTGTTAAGCGTTTTGATAATCTTTTGCATGTTATCATAGTAATATGTAATCCAGTGCAAATCATGAATGGTACAAAATGGCTAAAAAATAAAATGCAACATATTGGGATACGCCGCATAGGAAAACAAAGTACTAAGAAAAAAATAAACTATAATAAGGTTTTTGAACATAGGGACGTCTACCATACCGTGCACTGTTGAAACAAAAATGTTGTATTCAAGTCCCGGTGCTAAAAGATGTTTTAAATGCTTTGTAATAGTTGATTGTTTGTTTCCTTGTTTAGAAGGTTGGTTAGTTTTTTGGTTTTAGAAACTGCCATAAATAATAGAGGTAGTTGGTAGTTTTGGTATTTGTACTTTGACATAATCTTGTGCGTAGACAGATTGAGCGATTGATAGCATTCTTTGTATCAAAAACATTTGTTAATCACAGTTTATGAATATAAGCAAGCAGACTGATTTGATTCTCTATCTTGTTCTTGATCATTGTTGATTGAATTGTTAATAGCACTTGAAAACTGGGATCACAATTGGTATCAGAGCGGAATCAAATTGACTGGATTGGATTTGGATCACATTTCTTGATCGAATTCTTGAAATTATGTTTTTGACATTTCTTGTTTTGTTCTTGCTAATTTTTCAAAATTCATCTATTTGATCGATAAATTGACAAGTTGGTATATGTTAAAAGTGTTGCTGCATGTATTGCAAACTAATCTGTGCAAGTTAATTGCATAAATTTGCAATTTTTGATTGAATTTTTGTATTCTGGAATTGAATGTTGGTGTTCATTGGACGATAAGAGTCATCTCTTGAATTTTTTCAAAGTTTCAAGAAATTCATTTTTCTGTGTGTTGAATTTTTCAGATCCAGTCTTAGTCCATTTTATCTGAAAACGATCATTTTTCAAGTCTTTAAAGATGTCAAAGGATATGTTGAGCATTGGTTCTGATTCAAAGCCTCCAGTTCTTGTTGTCGGGGAATATTTGCGATGGAAGGTTCAAATGGTACATTTTCTTGACAATAAGAATGGGAAGCTGATGGAATCTATCAAGAATGGACCATACATCAGTTATTTGGATCTACTTGAACAGACTTCCACTGATAGAATTGTCGTAGCTGCCTCAAAGAGAAAGAAAGATCCACAGTATTATACTGAAACAGAGAAACAAAGGATCCTCATTGACAAGAAAGCTTTGACTTATATACTGATGGCCATTCCAAATGAACTTTTCAATCGAATTGACAACATAGGTTCAACTAAAGAGCTTTGGGATGAACTGGAGAAGTAGATGTTGGGAAGTGAAAAAATCTATTAAGTTTAGGATGAATAATGCATAAGTGCATATGAAGGGTTTAGAGCTCGATAGAATGAAACCATCACTGAATCCTACAACAGATTCAATGTAATTTTGAATAACCTAAGGAGGAACGTTGTTTAGAAGTCCATGTCTGAAATCAATCATAAGTTTCTAAAGAATTTGAAGTCTGAGTGGAACTCTCTTACTGTAAATCTGCAAATGAACAAGAATATGTTAGAAGAGGACATTCATGATCTTTACAGCAATATGTATGAACAAGAGAAAACCATAAGAGAGTTGATGACTGAAAAGAAGAAAGTGGTTGACTTTTTAGCTTTGCTGTCAGGGAAGCAAAGAAAGGGAAAATCTAATGGAAAGAGCTCCAAGTCCTTGAAGACAGAGTTATCAGAGCAGACTGAGAGTGAATCAACTAAATATTCCTCTGCTGATCCAGATGACGACATCAGGGAGTTCTCAAAGACTCTTGCTTTACTGACAAAGAAGTTTCAAAAAAATATTCCCCGAAAACTCGCAAGTAGTAAAAATCAAAGCTCGCTCGAACTCGATAACTATTTCTCAAGCTCGAACTCGAATCAAGATCGAACTAAGCTCGAACTAAACTCGAACTCGAGCTCGAAACAGGCTCGAACTGCAACTCAAATCACAGTTGAACTCGAACTTGAACTCGAATCAAGCTCGAACAAAGCTCACTGCTTACCCATTGAAATTTATGAAATTTTATGTTTTTTTTTTTATAAATTTAAAACTTAAAGTTGTTCTCTTGATTTTTATAAAACTAAAGGGATGAACTTCAAATTTCATCATTGATGTGCTATAATCGTAAGTGTGCACACAGTGGGCATAAAATCCCCAAAGTGG